TTCAGCCTGGCGCGCGCCGTGCTGAGGAGGAGGCTCCGCGCACGGGGGCGCGAGGCCGAGTTTGGTGGCAAGGTGGGCGGGCAAGGCGGGGGTGTTTTGTTGCTGGACGAGGTGAGCTCGAGCGTGGATCAGGACACGGAGCGGGCGATGCAGAAGGTGATTCGGGATGAGTTTGAGGGGTACACGGTGGTCATGGTCAGCCATCGGTTGGAGGCGGTGATGGGGTTTGATCGGGTGGTGGTGATGGCGAAGGGGGAGGTGGTTGAGGAAGGGAAGCCGGGGGAGTTGGTGGAGAGGGAAGGGGGGGTGTTTCGGGAGTTGTGGATGGTGGGGGGACAGTGATTTTGGATAGTCGGAGGGTCGATTTTGGCCACCAAGGAACGGTGTGTGAAGAGGAGGAGAGAGGTTGTACGGTGTACGTAAGCAGATGGAGTGAAGTTGCTGGTGTTGTGGATGGACGGTCGCGTGATGATTGATGGAAATCATGTCCTCACTGCTCACCCCCTCCATCATTGTGACAATTGACGCGAGCTGCAAGAGAGCTGCCATGAAGCCTTGGCCGCAATGCGAAAACCAGCCAGCTCCTAGGAGATGCACATTTCAAGCCCCCCCGAAAGAAGAAGGGTTGAAGAAGTGGTAGCATCGGATAGGGACCCCCACGGTCCATGACTTGTCGCGGGGTGCAAGGGAATGTGGTGGACGGTGAAATGGAAGGGGGGTGATCTTGTCGGATCAGAAGAGGGCCCCCCCCCCCCCCCGCGCGCGCCCCCCCCCCCGGGAAGTGAACCCCGCCCGCTGTGGTGCAGTGGGTGGTGGGCAGTGCGACCTCCACCACCACCAATCTTCTCCCCCCCCAAGCCTCCCGCTCAAGTTTCTTCGAGAAAGGTGGACTTGCAAGCACACAATTTGTAGGCAGTATCGAAACATTTTCATCATTTCATGGAGCCAAGGCTTGTCTTGCACACAGAATAACGGATGTACCCCCGCGAGAAATGGCAAAAGGAGAAAAGAGGGGGATGCGAAAAGTCGCGCCTGCACTCATGTGTGGGGTCGGGTGGGGTGTGGAGATGAGAGGGTGCGGACAGACGTGGGGGGTTCGGTGTGTGGTGTCTGTTGGGGAGCCGGGAGTCGGGGGGGGGCACTGCCCTGGGGGGGGAAAGGAAATGGTGGAAGGCGAGGGCAAAAAAGAGGGGGGGGGGGGGCGGGGGGGGGGGGGGGGGGGGCCGGGGGCCGCGGGGGGCGGGGGCCCCCGGCCCCCCGCGCGCGGGCGGGCCCCCCCCCCCGGCGGGGCCAAAGGAAATGGTGGAAGGCGAGGGCAAAAAAGAGACCCCCCCCCCCCAGCCCCGCTGCCCGCCACCGGGCACTCTCTCTTCCTCCCCCCCATCCCATCCGTTGTCGGCACCTCATCTCGTCTCTCGGCGCTGCTCAATACCCGTGGCTTACTGCTATTTCTGGTTCTTGTGATTGATCACAGCACACGAACTCATCATCCACCAATCTCGAATTCTCACAGATCAAGTCTTCTGCATCTCTCTCTTTTTTTTTTTTTTCAGTTGGAGCTGGGAGTGGATTGGACCCTGGTCGCGTAACAACATCCGCCCCGACGCGCACCCTCCTGGTCGGACGGATCCCGCCCACCCACCTCTCCATGTCTTGAGCTGGTAAGCTCCCGTCTCCCAACTCCCATCGCCGCCTCGCCGAGACCGAGACGCGCCCACCGAACCGACACCTCGACAACCTCGTTGCTCCTCCAAACCGCCGAGGTGCCTCCCCCCAACCCCTTATCCGCCTCGACACGAGGATGAGCCTGCGCCGTCGCAGTCGACGTCCCGACCCATGGCTTCCCAACCTACTCCCCAGCACCAAGATGGTGGTGTCCCACCATCTGTCGCCTCGCCCTCGTCGACGCCATCAGCCTCATACAAGCGCGCCAGTAGGAGGGGTGCCCCTCGCCGCTTCACGTGCGACTTTGCTGGCTGCGACAAGATATACTCGCGAGCCGAGCATCTCCAGCGCCATCAACTGAATCGTGCGCCTGCCCGCCCTCCCCTTCCCGCGTGACCCCCGGCGCCGACCTGACTGACACCCTGCTTCTAGATGCCCCCAAGGAGATCTTTCGCTGCGACCTCGTCGGCTGCGAGCAAAAGTTTGTCCGCGCCGACCTCCTGGCCCGCCATCGAAAGCGCCACTCGACCTCGTACACCCCGAGAAACCGCGTGCCGAGCTTCAGCGGCGGCCAGAAGCGCCCCTCGCCCTCGGGCTCCGCGAGCGGCAACAGCGTCGTGTCGCCCGGCGTCGAGCCCCGCCCGACCTTCGCCAGCGTCCCGCACGATGCCGCCATCCTGCTGACCCCCGACTCGTCCTCGACCCGGCCGTCCGTCTCGAACCCCGCCGCCGCCGCCCGGATGCACCCGAGCTGGACCGCCCAGCTCGCCGACTTGGGCGCCTGCAACATCATCCGCCGAACGCCCGGCTACCATCCACCCGAGGACCAGCGCATGCCCGACCCGCCCGCCGTGACGTACCACAATGTCGAGTACACGGCCGAGGATGTGTCGCGTGTGAACTTTGCCGGTTGGCTGTTCAACCCGCAGGCCCCCTTTGAGAACTTTGCCGACTACCAGCTGCCCTTCATCGACGGCGGGCTCGAGTCCACCTTCAACAACAACATCCACTATGACTACGAGTCGCTCACAAGCGGCCGGTCGCAGCTGGAGACGCCGCCGCGCCTCGTCGAGAGCGACGAGCTCATCTCGGAGACGCGCCGCCAGGACGTGCTCCGCTGGTTCCAGGTGTTCCGCCAGAAGCAGCCCAAGTCGGAGCCATTGATTGCAAACCTGGTCCACGACAGCGGCGGCGACATGCCGGCCCTCAATGTGGAAATGATGCGCGACTGCCTGCAGGAGTTCTGGGAACACGTCTCGCCCCGTCTGCCCATCGTCCACCAGCCCACCTTCGCCCCGAACCGATGCTCACTCTTTCTCCTCATGGTCATGATCGCCCTCGGCGCCGCCTCGCTTCGAAGTAGGGATTCGAGCGGGAGCTTGTCCGAGTATGGCGGTTTTGCCGATGTGATTATCTTGAGCATTCGATCCGAGATCTTGACGCACGAGGACGCGATGCCGCCCGTGTCGCTGTGGGTGGCCCAGGCGCTATTGTTGCTGGAGTTTTACGAGAAGATGTATTCGTCGAGGAAGCTCCACGAGCGGGCACACATCTACCACTCCGTTGCCCTGACACTCCTCCGCCGTGGCAGTCCGCTTATCGGGCGGTCAGGCAGCGAGTCGCCCCCGGAGGTGGTCTCGGCGGAGCATCCGCACAATGTCGGGCTCGACTCTAGGACGTGGTGGACCCGATGGGCCGAGACGGAAGCTATGCATCGCGTCGTGTTCGCCGCCTTCATGCTCGACATCACGCACGCCGCCATGTTCGGCCACAGCGCCGACATGGCCCCCCACGAGATCCGCCTCCCGCTCCCCTGCGACGACAATCTCTGGACGGCCTCTAACCCTGATACTGTCCGCCAGCTCGACCAAAACTTCCGCATGTACGGCGTCAAGGCGATCTCGTTTCTCGACGGTCTCAAGAGCGCTCTTCACGGCAAGGAAGTTCACACCCACTCCTTCGGCCGCATGATCATCATGTCCGGACTCCTCTCGGTCGGCTGGCATCTTAGCCACCGTGAATCTCACCACCTCAAGTGGCTCGACCTGAACTCGCAGTCCCCCGAGACCCAGGAATCCTGGAAGAAAATTCTTCTCCGTGCCTTTGACCACTGGAAGAAATCGTTCGACGCCGCCGCGCAAGGCGACCCCTCCCCTCCTCTCGGCGGCGCTGGCGGCTCCAACGGGCCCATCCAATCCGCCGCGGTCCTCTACCACCTCGCCCACCTCAGCCTGCACGTCGACATTGTCGACTGCCAAGTCTACGCCGGCGCCCGCCGCCTCCTCGGCCGCAAGGTCTCGGTCCGCGACCACAGCAACGTCGTCGCGCGCATGCTCGCCTGGGCCGCACTGCCCGCCACCCGCCACGCGGTGCTGCACGCCTTTAAGCTTCTGCACCGCGTGCTGGTGGACCCGCGGCGCAGCGCCGGCGGCGGTGAGCGCAAGCAGCCCCCGGGGGGGATCAGTCTGCCCCCCATCGAGGTGCAGTCGTACTCGTGCCGCAACGAGACGGACCCCCACCGCCCGTGGATCATGTACTACGCGGCGCTGTGCATCTCGTCGTTTGTCCGGGCGATTGGGCGGAACCACGACGCGTCGCCGCCGCCGCCGACGGGGCGGGGCGCGGACGCCGGACCGGGGCAGCCGGTCAACTACAGGCGCGTGGTCACGTACCTGTCGTCGATCGCGGCGCTGGGGGAGCTGACGGAGGCGGCGGCGACGGGACTGGGCGAGGGGCTGCCGGACTTGCTGGACGCGCTGATCTCCATCTTTGCGGAGGCGCACTCGGAGCTGCTGAGGGAGGCGATGGAGAGGTTACGGGTTAGTAAGGAGCTGTTGGGGAGTTCGGGGCAGACGGGGAGCTGAGTGGGGGGAGTTATGTTCATCGATCAAGGAAGAGCGATTAGTCAAGTTTCCGAGCGGGCTTGAGCGGAGAAATGGATAGGGCGTGTACCAAGTGAGATTTTCCATGTTGGGAATGGGATGTGGGATGCGTGGCGAGCGGGCTTGACTTTTGTTGACATGGATTGCTATGGGCTTGTTAACAGCGACATGATCCCGAGGATCGAATCAAGGTGGACTTTTGTGTTTTTTTTTCGTGTTGGCAGGAGATGGGTGCGGAATGTATATCCCCGGTGGAAGGAGTGGAGTGAGAGAAGGCCGGAGACGGCTTGGGTTTGTGAGATGCTGAATACATTATGGTTACGAAAAACGGTGGTGGGTGAGTTCTGAATCAGCGTCTGTTGTGAAAAGAAAGGGGGTATGGTTGTGTTACGTTTTGGGGCGGGCCTAGGAGTATCATAGGGTGGGGTTTTGAACGGTATGAACAAGCAATTGGGTTCGATGGTGTAGTTGGTTATCACGTTCGCCTCACACGCGAAAGGTCCTGAGTTCGAGCCTCAGTCGAATCAACCCTTGCTTTTTGCCTGTGACCCTCAATTGCCTTGCGATGATGGGGAGGTGTTCGCTTTTTGGTCTGCAGCCTTTTTTTCCTGCTATGTCGTGAAGTGAGGTCTCAGAGCTGGACATGATGAACCGATTTCAGTTATCCGTATTTCTCGGTTCAGCACCATGAATGGCACAGGCACGGTTGGCATTTGCATCTACAGTGGGTTGACAAAAGTATCGAGCCCTACCCCGCATCGCGTCGCGTTCGCGTAAAATCTCCACCTTGCAACACCACACCACCATCTTCAACACCATGGATCGCCTACCCACACCACCTCCCCATACGCCAAAGACGGAGTACTCTCCTCACAAGAGGGCGAGGATCGCAGCAGGCTACGATTTAGGCCTTACACGCAACGCTCTAGCGGCCAAAGAGGGCGCGTCGCGAGGCTCGATATTTGGCGTCGTCAAACGCTATGAGAAGCAAAAGTCTGGTCGCTCTTCGCCACGGTCTGGCCGCCCACGGAAGCTCCATGACAGGGCAATTCGCTGTATCCTGCGATCTATTGCCAATGATCCGTTCGTCTCGCTACGCGAAATGAAAGAGGAAGCCGGGCTCGACGTCCACGAGCGGACAATTTGCCGGGAGCTCAAGAAACGCGGCATCATGCACTCCTTGGCCCTCAGACGCCCGAAATTAACCGAGGAGTACGCGCGGAAGCGTTTGGCATTTGTAAAGGCATATGTCGACAAGCCTCGTAAGTGGTGGCGGCGTGTTGTAGTCTCCGATGAGTCGATAGTCGCCCGGGGGCAAGGAGAGCGCGGACTCTGGGTCTTCTGCCGGAAGGTACGTTATCTTTGACCTAGGATATCTCCGCGACGCTAACCTTATAGGGCGAGAGATTACTCCCTAAGAATGTCCAGCTAAAGACGAAACCAACGCGCCACTCGCAGATGTTCTAGGGTGCTTTCGGCTTTGGCATTCGTAGCGCGTTGTGGCCGATGCTTGGAGACCCCGATTCCAAGCGCGGGGGGGTTACTTCTCGAGTTATACTCGAGTGCTTACAAGAGAACCTCCTAACGATCCTTTCCCTAGGTAGTATCTTTATCCAAGATAACGCCTTAACTTACACGGCGAGAATCGTACAAGATTGGATTCGGGAGTGGGCCGGGGAAAATGGGGTGATTTTGCTGGACTGGCCGCTATATTCGCCCGACTTGAACCCGATCGAAAACCTGTGGAAGTTGCTGAAAGAGGAGATTTGCAAGCGGTATCCGGAGCTCTCGGATATGCCGAAGAATCAGAGGAGCTACGACCTATTGGTGCGCGCGGCGATTACTGTGTGGGATGAGTTTGAAGAGGACCTGTTGAATCGCTTGATGGAATCGATGGTGCGGAGGTTGGAGGCTGTCGTGGAGGCTGGCGGTTGGTATACTAAGTATTGATGTAATTCGTTTTGAAGCCCGGAGCCTGATGTATACGCTCGTAAAATTGTATACGTTTTGCTAGTTAATTGGAAGAGTTGTGCATCTTGCGGTGGGAGTGGTCACGATGATGGAAAACTGGTGCGGGGTTGGGCTCGATACTTTTGTCAACCCACTGTAAGACCCGGGTGGTCGTTGCGGTTGCAGGCTTGAAGACTCTACCAAAAACGAGTGCAGAATGATTTGGATGAATCCACGACCTCATCGCCTTGACGGCGTCGAGCTGCCCTCTGACAGACTGGCACTGACAGCAACTCTCTCTTCATCCCATGATTATCCGTACATCACTGCCACATGCCCTTGAACAGACTCGCAGATCGACCACATATTGACTAGTTTGCAAGCGGATAGAACCGGAGACAAGCATCGAACGTCATCGCGTCATTCGGCCGCCGGGAGGCGATGGTGGACAAAAAGGGGAAACTCCGACGCTCAAATTTGTTGAGTTTCTTTTGAGATTTCTGCCGACTCTGAACACGAGGCATCGTCCAGCCACACTCTCGCCATGACATGTCGTTGACAACTTGACAAGGAACGGGGACAAGGAACGGGGCACGTGCCGGCCGGATGAGCCGGGGGTCGAAGCCCGAGATCGATCGGTGCCAGGCCTGCGTATTGGGATCTACTTTCGCCGGACCGGTGACCGGGACCGGGACCGGGACCGGCCCCGTCCACACAGCACCTGGGAGACCTCGGGGGCTGGCTGCGCACCGTGGGCGACGCGAATAATTGCTGAGAGGCTTGATTTATCGCCATCGACGCAGAACTCAAGCTCGACCGTGCGAAAACTCACTAGCGGCCAGCGGTTCTTTTCCTCCGGAAGCTCGGGGTCTAGACTCTGGGCCTGTGGAGGAAATGAGTGGCTCCATGCACAGCATCTGGCTTCCGCCGGGCCCGATGCAGCCGCCCTAGCCCGGCGGCCGACGAGCAGCTGAAGCCCCGACTTCTTTACGGGGTCGCTGGCCCTACACGAGGTTCGCCAGCGAGTCAGTTGCGCCGCTGTTGTGGGCATCGCGGTCGGGGCCCAACCAGCGGCCGACTGCCGCGCGTGCAGGCGGGTTCCCGGCGGCGGTGGCGTCCGGGGCACACCTGTTTCTGGAAATTGGGGGCCCCTGTATTATTGACTCGGGCCCCCCTGAGCGAGCTGCTGAGGGCGGGTCCAGCTGGCGGTGAGAGAGCCGCCTCGACCGCCCCCCCTCCAGCCGCACCGCCTCGCCGGTCCGGGACCGGGGGGTGCCATGCCGGCGGGACTCGTCGAGCAGTTCCTTCAAAAGGGGACGGGGGCCGGGTCTCGTTGATGGGGAGTTCTGTGTTGTCAGTCCTACATCTCTCGCTCGTCTGTCAGACCTACGCTCCACGGCCTCGCTGCCACTTTCACTCGTTTTTAGGACACTATTGTCCGAGTCAATCGTTACCCCTTTCTTCCGTCGCTTGTTTCTAGAGCAATAATCGTAATCATGTCGTCCAAGGTCCTTTCGCTGGCAGCCATGCTGCCGGCTGCGATGCTCGCGTCTGCCGAGATCGTCAGCGTGCCCCTCAGCGCGCAGGACGGTGCGGTGGGCAAGTCCAAGGCCGCCGGGTCGTACTACAGCATCGACCTCGCCGTCGGAACCCCCGGCCAGACCGTCCCCGTCAAGTTCGACACGGGCTCCTCCGAGCTGTGGGTCAACCCCGAGTGCGACACGTCCAGCAACCCGGCCGTCTGCGCCGCCCAGGGCCGCTTCACCGAGTCGACCACCATCGACGTACTCGAGGGCGAGACGGGCGTGATTGGGGGCGCCCAGGTCCAGTATGCCACGGACTATGTGCGCATTGGGTGTAAGTGAAAGATGACGGGTCGTGCGGGCGGACTTGGGCTGACGTGTACCCCAACAGCCGCCACCATCACCCAGCAGATCATCGGCCTCGGCCAGAGCAGCAAGGACGCCGTCGTTGGCGTCTTCGGTGCTGGTCCCCAGTCGTCCGGCTTCGACAGCGCCTACCCCACCGCTATCGACTCGCTCGCCGCCCAGGAGTTCATCGGAAGCCGGGCCTTCAGCTTGGCCCTCAAGGGAGAGGGGGGTGAGTGCATATCCGTACAGGGGGAAGAATAGTGCGTGTTTGGCTGACATGTCCAGGCTCCGTCATCTTCGGTGGTGTCGATACCCAGAAGTATGCTGGTCAGCTCACCAAGCTGGCTGTTCTGCCCGGCCCCAACGGCGAGGCCGGGTGGTTCGTCAAGCTCGATGGGATCTCCATCACGAAGGTCGGCGGTGCTGCCACCGAGGTCTACTCCGGCCCCGGCCAGACCGTCCTCCTCGATACTGGATCTTCGCTGAGCACCCTCCCGCCCGCCATCTTCGCCTCCCTCCTCGAGGCGTTCCCCTCCGCCAAGCTCGACGACGCCACAGGCCTCCATAGCGTCGACTGCAGCGGCAGCGTGGGCTCCATCGACTTCTCCTTTGCCGACAAGGTCATCAGCGTCCCGGTCTCGGACTTTGTCGTGAACATCCCCGGCTCCGACCTCTGCGTCCTCGGCGCTTTTGAGGGCGGTAAGCAGCACCGCATTCTGGTGGCGAAACAATAACTGACAGCTGCAGCCTCCGCCGTCCTCGGTGACACCTTCCTCAAGTCGGTCTACGCCGTCTTCGACTTTGACAACCAGGCTGTCCACCTCGCCCAGGCCGCCGACTGCGGCTCTAACCTCGTTGCCATCGGATCCGGCCCCGCTGCGGTTCCCTCCGTTGAGGGCTGTGCTGAGGTCGCCCGCCGCTCCGCCACGGTCGAGGAGCCCGAGACTTCTCCGGACGACGACCTCGAGTGGTGCGACGAGGAGGAGGAGGAGGAGGATGATGAGGAGTGGTGCGATGATGAGGATGAGGATGAGGTCCCCACCGGACACCCCACCAACACCCGCGGTCCTACCGACACTCGCGGTCCTGGTAGCCAGCCCACCGACGACGGGCACGAAGGTCACGGCCCCACCGGCGGCTCCGGCGGTCAACCCACCGGCGGCTCCGGCGGTCAACCCACTGGCGGCCACGGCGGCCAGCCCACTGGCGGTAACGGCGGCCACCCCACCGGAGGCAACGGCGGCCACCCCACCGGTGGTCCCGGCGGCCCCCGCCCCACCGGCGGCCCCGGCGGTCCCCACGGGCCCATCACCCGCCAAACCCTGACGCGCACGCAGTTCTCCACCTTCACCGTCACCTCGTGCGCGCCCACCGTCACCAACTGCCACGCCGGTGGCGTCGTCACGGCCGTCATCACCCGCACGACCGAGGTGTGCCCCGAGTCGACTGCTGTGTACACTCGCCACCAGGGCGGCAAGGACCACCCCTTCACCATCAAGCCCGTTGATCCCCGCCCTACCCCCGTCCCCGTTCCCGGATGCGGTGTCGCTCCTGGCGGTGGCTCCGGTCCTTCGGGCGGTGAGGGCCATGGCGCTCCCGGCGGTGGCTCCGGCTCTTGGACCCCTGGCTCTGGGTCGGGTGCTCCTGGCGGTGGCTCTGGCGCCCCTGGCGGTGGCTCTGGGTCGTGGACTCCTGGTTCCGGCTCG